CACACACACACACGCACACACACACACACACACACACACACACATTCCACGCATGCTAGCAGTAGCTTGCACGCTCTGGCAACGCCATCGAGGCAAGGGCGCTTGTAATACAGGTACGTAACAACCGCTACCAGTAATGGAATCGATTGGCAAATGCCTCGCGGTAGCTGCCGTTTACACCTTCCATGCGCTGCGAATGGGAAATGAGCCAGGCACATGTTATGTGTAGCGATGGAAATGTAACGAGTCGGCATTTTAGTCGGCATCACAATACGATTAGGAGTGAATAATAATAGTCTATTCTATTTGTAGATAGTCTATTATTATTCACGCCTGATACGATGACAACGGTCTGTCTATAACATTTACAACTGCAACTATGGTAACAGTGACGCTTCGGTGGGAATGGCAACAGTAGGAATAATTTGACCCTACGATCCGATTGCCTACGAAGTGCCTATGACATCGCCATATTTCATTAAGAGCCACGTACAGCAATGCAGGTAAAGGAATCAATAATTGTCTCGGTGACACTGAGTATACTGGGTCATTATTAAATGAAGTTGGTGGCATTTTTGTCCTATATGAAATGGTTTCATGAACCCTGCTTGGATACTTTCAAGTATGATCATTCAGATTGTGCTGCTAGTGGAAAGAACGTAATACCTTACAGCAGCCCTACATGAATCTATAACTCTATAAAATCGTTTAGCTTCTCTTCCAACTTCTTTCACCGAGTTAAACGTCTGGTACTATTATCAATAATTGTAATGCATTCCACGGCTTCTCTGTCTTCTGTCACATGCGTGTACGTCGATGTAGTCTCGATGTAGTGCACTAGCTGAATCGCAGATTTGCGGTATGCTTTTTGGCGTTGCTGTGCTCCTTGACAATCTCTTGCATTTTACCACGGCGAATAGCCATCGTGCGTTCATTTCAGCACTCACCGTTGAACGCACGTGGCTACTTTACGTCTTCTTCTTATGTCTCATGCAATAATTCTCTGCGTCCTTTTTATCAGCCGTCCGTCCCCATTCTTTATTGCAATAGTGTCAGCAAGATTTCTGAACATCGGCTTATTCCTATATGTGCAAAACTTGCACGAGGGCATCCATCTGCCGTGGTGGATCTTCATCTGGGAAGCGTACTCAGCCTTTTAGGCCCGATATACTAAGGATAAAAGCGGGTCTCTATCCTTTATGTTTGCCACATCACCACGTGTAAACCACATCGAAAAGGCACTAGCTGTAGGTCGCAACAGGCATTAGTTCACATGATGAAAATGAAAGCAGAGCTCAACATCTCATTCACATGACCGAACTAGAGCACTCGGAGAGCACAGACCTCCGCCAAGGCAGCTGAATTCTCTCAATGTGAAAATTGCGTGAAACTGCTACTAGACCTCGCGAGATCCTTTCTCACTGAACTAACGTTGTTCATGCCCTTATTCAGATGGCAGACAAGCACGTTGACGGGTTCGACGAAGATCTGGCCCGTTCAACACATCGATAGAATGCGGCGCCGTGAAGCCTTCATGTGCAGTCGTCATCAATCACCATCGTGATATGTAGGAAGATGCAGAGAGAGCCGCGCTGCATAAGTAAGTTCCCGCTGATCTCTGATGCGTCACCAGAAACACTTCGTGCGCTTATATACTTGCGCAATTAAGCCGTATTTTCAATTTTTTGGCTGTTCGCGTGAACTTTTTTTCCAGCTACGTACTATCTTGCGCAGCTTGCATACGTCATCGTATAATGTTTTACTGTAAAAGCAATATAGGTTCCGCGGTGATGCCCTACAAAAGCCATGTGCGTTGCAACTGTTTTTGTCATATTTAGTCACGTGACTTCTAAATTCGCGGAAATCTCGCTAGGCTTGCTTGCGTCATTCGGAAATGCTGGATAATATTGAGAATAGTCGTGCTATTTGTCGTACTTGTAGGAGAAAACCCAAATAGAGACAATGTCTTCACTTATTGGAAAAGAAGAAACAGGGCAGAGCAATGAAGCAATCCATAAAATAATATCATCTAGCCTACAATTCCGCACTGTTCATGTTCAGAAATTCACTGATCTTGGCTATTCGGTCATGAAAAAGCCAGTAGTAGCGGTTGTCAATATCTTAGTAGTGTATTTCTCTTTGATACCTTGAGCAAGGAATTATACGTTTGTCAAAAGAAATGATCGCAAGCTTGAGCTTCGGCAAACATCAAAATATATGGAACCCTAGCTCTAGCTGCATGCAATTTGAGCAGCGTCGCTGTAGCGGCGTGAGCGCGCAGCGTAATCTGATAGGATGTGTATAGTTAGACCTAATAATTACCTCGCGCAGGGGCTTGGCGGAGGTTATGTTTCACACGGTGTCTTTGAGTGTTGCTTGTGGGTTTGTGTGTACGCATGCACGTTTCAGTTACTTTCGCTAGGTTGCGCTGGCGTGTAGACTTACAAAACACGGCAACCACAGGCTAAGGGGCAACCAAGTCCTCCGCCACCTGCACGCTCGCACTAATGCGCGGATACAATTAATTAATTATTTAATTAATTAATTAATTAATTTTTCGAATTAATTAAATAATTAATTAAATTAAAAA